CGAGGACATTTTCTTTGTTTTCTTGAATAATTTAAGTAAATTGTTCCCTTTGTTGTCCTACATTGAGAGATTGAATTGAGATTCTTTACTTTTGTGTCGTATATAAAAATATAAAGAACATAAACATAAAATCTTATAAACGAAGTAATAGAGGTAGATAAAAGTTTTTAAAAATAAACATGAATTGTTGTCTTTAGAATAACATAAATAAAAATTATTTCTTTTTTCAGTTTTGCCACAGACTATAATTATAATAATTTTAAATGTTCGTCCAATGAAAACCTACGATTATATGATGTGTTTGTAAGGTCAGGGTTAGGACAGTGAAGGTTACACTGATGGAACACCAACGTGATTTGATTACACGTGTTTGCTTTCACGAATTCGCCTGTTGTTCGACAAACTCTCAAGTCGACTATAGCAGTTTGTTAACTATGCTAATGAACCTAGTTAGTGCCACATTCAGTCATAAAGTGGTAAATAAAGGTGCATCTTAGTGTAGATTGAGTACGGAAATTGTACACTAGAAATTAATTATGTAACCATCATATTCTGAATGTAAGATATATAGGAGAATAGATTAAGCCATCCCTGTGCGGGTTTTCAGTAGGTTCTATGAGTTTAACTAAATGGCTACATAAACATTTGCGCAAAATTTGTCGATAAACGAGTTTTTCTGTGACGTTTAACATTGGTAGAGCCCGCTTTGACATCTTGGCATGCTTGGGCCGCTCACCCGGTGCAATATCACGATCACACAGAAGACAGGACTGGAAGGCTAATTTTAGTCGCTTTCCCTTTTAACTCTTTTCTTATAAGAATAATATGGGAAGAGACTAGTTAGCGGCGGAGAAGATGCATAGAAAGGGGAAAAATACTCTATATGTGCGTCTCCTCCGTTCTCTTTTTATATCACGTGGGCGAATTCTCGATCAAAAGTTAGTCTATTCTAATATAATAAAGCGTAAATGCACACTTCTTTGTGGCGTAAGATGTCAGCAATTACAGAATATTTTTGAAAAACTCTTTTTTAAATAAAAACCTCTACACTTACGTCATGATTTAGGCTATATATTTTCGCAATACACTTAGGGGGTAAATGAATTGAACAATAATCCTAATGTGGGAAAGTGATCATAAGCTGCTGCCAACATAAAGGAAGCAAGATTGCCAGGTAATTGGTATTTTGACATTTGCAATTGAAAGTTTTTATAATTTCACGCAGATGAAGTCGCACGGGAACAGCTAGTATGATATAAAAAGAGTATTTATATTTGTTAGCTATATTTCTGTCGTATTTGTTTAGGTACCAAGAGTTTCGCCCGTGTTCATAGCCGGTCGTTCGCTTTAGTGATTTATGTATCCGATGCTATCACGATGTGACGTCACACTAAACAACTAAATTAACCTCTGTCTGAATCTCTGCTAACAAACGCCTTCCTCTATATACGGAGATGATATGCACAATCCAGCATACATATAATAATTTATTTTACTTTCTAATTGTAAACGATTTAACATTTGTAATGCACAAGGCCTTTCAATGCTTAATGTTATAGAAGACTTTTTCTAAATTGTTTATAAGTGAAGTTAATTATTTAAAAAAAAAATTTGTTTACTGCTATTAATGGTTTCAGTATCATATTGAAAACTAAAACTTATAGAGCGGGCGCACATGCACATGTAGTGCGATTGTCGATTGTTTCGCAGCCAATTCAACTGTTTAGTTGCATAATTAAAAGTCGAGTAGTGCATGCATCTCCATACCAGCTCGTAGTAATCAAGGCGAGAGTAAACAGTTGTGCGACAGTTTAGTCAAAGGTGTGCGCATGCTGATAGCAATAGCTGCAACAGCTTTAGTGTTTTTCAATAAGATACGAGCGTTTATTTCATGACTGGTATAGTTTTACAAATTCAATTTGCCAAATAGCAAGTCAGCGCCATTCCACCGATCACGCGCCAAGCGACTGTCAATTGTCTTTGTTTATTCACGAGGTGGGGTCGAATACAGTCGACTACCTAGCAACAGTATATAATAAAATGACTACCTTTCGCGCGCGACTCGGTCCGCGTGGAATTAAAATATGTGAGTAGCCTATGTGTTCTTCCACAGTATCCTCTACGTCTATGCCAAATTTGACCTAGTTCCGTTCAGTCACTTAGGCTACAAACTCTAACAAACATCCATCCATCTAAACTTTCGCATTTATAATATTAGTAAGAGTAAGATATAACAAGATGATATTATGATATACTACCTTTTGCCCGTGACTCTGTTCCTGTGGATTTATAAAAACAAAAGTACGTACACTATGTGATCTTTCAGACTATCCTCTACATCTATGCCAAATTTCACCGGAATCTTCTCAGTCTTGGCTACAAACTCTAACAAACATCCATCTAAGCTTTCACATATATTTGTTTAACTTGTTACCGACAGCGCGGCAGCCAAAAATACGAAACAAACCTTTTCTTCCAACTAAAACATTTTTATTTAAAACTTATGTAGTTACATATTTAGAAGTAGTTAACAAAAATATATCGAGATCACATCTGGACTCTTGTATGCGTCTTTTCCTTCTATTTCTTTTTAATAATAAATAATGCAAACGTCTTGGTGGCCAGTTGCAACCTCTTTGGCTGTATTCGTACTGCTTGTCACCCAAAGAGGTTGTATTTGGCACTCAGCAATTTTATTAGTAAAGATTTTACATCTTTTGATTCTCTTAAGGGCAGTTTTTCCCCTCTGTCTATAATATAATATTAAATAGAGACTTAGGGAATGTCTCCATATCAATATTTACAAGATATTTCTACCGATATTAATTTTAAAGAGAACAAAAGCCTTCGAAGCCAATCGAGAAAGCTGATAATAAGTCTTTAACATATAACCTCCGTAACATATTACAGTGAATTAAACCTTAGTGTCTTTTAAGTAAAGTTCAAATTTCTCTGGGATGAGTTTCTCCCTTTAATGCCAAAATTTGGCTTTTATTTCTCGTCGTATTAAGTTGATACTTGGAAGCTTACTAAATGGTTTGTTATAATGTTGTACAACCGCTGTGTTTAAACGTGATTTAAAAATATTCTTTCTAAAGCTAAATAAAACCCTATAGGGAGCATATAAAATGACAATGAATCAAACGTCGAAAAAAAAGACTTTTTATAAATAACTAGCTGTTCCCGTGCGACTTCATCAGCGTAAAATTATGAAATTTTTATTATATCGTTTACATGTGACAAATTATCAATTGCAAATGTCAAAATGACATGACATGGTGACAAAGCATGGCAACCTTGCTTCCCTGATGTTGGCAGCAACTTATGGTCTCTTTCCTACATTAGGGTTTTTATTCAAAATATTTACAAGTTTAATGACGTGAAAATATATAGCCTAAAGCGTGACGTAAGTGTAGGGCTTTTTGTTTAAAAAAGAATTATTCAAAAATATGCTGCAATTTCTGACATCTTACGCAACAAAGAAGTGTGTGTTTACGCTTTATTATAATAGTATAGATATAATGGTAATCTTATAACTATTTACGTAAATACAAACTAAGTTATCGCTGTTTTCCCAGTTATGTTAAACCATTCATTAGTGTCTTGGTTCGATAATTTCATAAAATGCGTTTCCGAACTTCGTAAGTTAAGTTTAACGTCATTCAAACTTAGGTTTTAGTAACATAGTTTAACTTTGTACCGCGAATTAAATAGAATACCACAGAAAAGTACATAAACTCAATGTTTACTAATGTATGTTGTTAGAAGGTATCTTTAGATCAGCTCAGCAGTTCTTGATAAAATTAGGTACGTATAACATAGTTGGGAAGAACGCCTAAGTAACGTAATAACATTACTGAGTTATTTTTAATTGAAACGTGCTTCCAAAAGCTAATGACGTAGTTATAATTTTTCACAACAACAAACTGTAATTAAACTTGCGAGATTATTCTAAAAAAGGAACGAATGACGTAGGGTAATAATCCCTAAGCGGCGGAGTTAAGAAATTGTAAGAAACATATAAAAAGATTTCATTGCGAAAGCTTACATTTCGAAACTCGATTTCGTTACGTGTTCCCCCAACGTTGCTACCCTTTGCGTCACGAATTCTTTTCATATTGAAATTTATCTTGTTCATGTGAGAGCATCGGATAAATGACTCGACAGTTATAGAAAGGCTTATAAGATTTGCAAATTGAAACTTTTCTTTGTCAATACAACGTTTTTTTATTTTAATTTGTATCTTTACTGAATTTTAATATTTTAAAATAGGAAAAGCGGGCATAGGAGAAGCGGATCGCTTGATATTTTGGCAGACCAAAGGCATCAGAATGCCTATGAAAATCCCCAACGCAAAGAGAACTTCAGATGCGCTGCCGACCTATAAGGAGGAGTACACTCTTTTCTTGAAGGCCCCTAGGTCGTAACTAATTTATATGTTTTAATGATTGTAGTTTGGACTTGATATTATTTAGTAAGAATGAAACGATTTTCGTAACTTTGATAAGTCGGCTAATAGAAATGTATTACGGAGCAGCACATACTGTGTTGACCCTTCTTAGGGACAAGGGCAAGGTGATGATGATGACTACAGTACTGCTATTGGGGAGAATTTTGTTAAGTTAGATTTGTAAATGTATACACAGGGAGTGATGACTGAGATGACGGATGGTAGAGTTATTTGGAGGACGAAAACCCGGTGTGTCGACACTACGGGAGTAGGATAAGGTAGGCTTAGGGGAGATGAACACATTTTTGCAGGTTGTACATAACAAGGTAATAATTATTATGGACCAATCGCGGCTTCTCTTCAGTTAGTTTGTGAATTATAATTTTTTGTAAAGGTTATGGTTGAGATAATGTAAATTAATTCCCTTGCCTTCACAATAACCACGATAGGATCTATTAGATAAAATAATTATTTTAACAATGTTGCAGCGATTGACTATAATTACTGGCACTGGAAATTGGCAGATTATTAACACTCACGTGCTTGTTAAAATAGCATTATTTAATAACGTTTTTCATTAAAATTCAATAATTAACACAGGATTATTTAACAGGAAGAATTGTATTGATTAAATGCATTTATGCATTGTTTAATTTTTTGATTCCAGTAAATAATTGTGTATATTACATTGTGTCATATTTAGATTTTAAAGGTCGTTTTGAAAAAGTGAAGAATTACAGTTATTACGATAATACAATTTTTATTTCTATTTTCTTTTATAAAAATCATCTTTTCCAATGTATTCGTTCTGGGTATTCGAACATACTTCTCTTTCAATTGTCAATCCGTTAGGCGGAGGAGGGGGATGAGCCTTCAACGCTCTTTTGAGTGCAATATGAACTCGATCACCTAAATCTTTATCAGTCAAATATAAAAGTTCAATGAACCTTTTCTGCAGAAAAGGTGGCGCGGGTAAAACTTCCGCAGCCGCGTTTGCAGCGAGTCTCTCTCGTTGTGTGTCATTACGAAGAATTTCATTATAAACGTATGCCGCTTCTGCCAAATCAATAGCATTGCTTTCATATACGACAATTTTTTCCCTCGGTCTCGATGCATCTACGTATGATATTGGTCCGCTGAATGAATCAGGATAATAATTAGGTACATCTCTCATATTATCTTTTACAGGAGAAACACCATCACGATTATAATTTTTACTGTATAAAGGACAATTTACTTCTATCTTGTTATGGTTAACGCCTAAACGATATTTCTGAGCATCAGGGTACACGAATCTACGACTTTTGAATATGTAATCTACCGGCCCTGGAATTCCTGGAACTAAATTTCCAGGGTTAAATGCAGCTTGTTCAGCGATACGGAATATGTTATCAGGGTTCCTATTAAATACCAGCCGCCCAATCTGCACTGTATGATAAGTACCCTTTCTCCAAAATCTATTCACTTGGAATATATTATAAGGAACTTTGGGTAAATCTTTGAATGATATCACATCCATTTCTAACTTCCATGAAGGGTATTTCTTTTCTTCAATAGAATTATATAAATCTCTAATAAAATAATCCGGGTCTCGAGCACTAACAGCAATTGCTTCTTCGGTTGTTAATACTTCTACGCCTTGCTCAGTTCTTAAATTAAATTTAACGAAATATCTGTCACCGTGTTTATTATGTATTTCGTACGTATGTATTGGAAAAACATCCATTTTCCGATAGCCATTAGGAAGTCCGTAATCAGAAAATGTGTATAAATACGCAGGCAGCAACTCTGGTCGAAGAGTCATAAGATCTACTTCTGCTGTGCGATCAAATAGAAATGTTTTTGGATTTGGCTTTACAACATGACCTAAATGCTGGAATAGTATTGGATCTTTATAGAAATATATAGGTTGATTTAAACAAAGGAAGTCTAAATTTCCTTCTTTGGTGTAAAACTTTACTGCCAGAGCTTTGGTTTCTCTGGCCAAATCACTTCCTCCTTTAAATTGAGCTCCGGTAGAAAATCTTCCAGTGATCGAAGTTTTCTTTCCTATACCGTTGAAAACATCAGCCTTGGTATACTTAGATACATCGTTAGTAACTTCAAAGTAGCCAAAAGCCGCTATACCTTTTGCATGTACTATTCTTTCTGGTATTCTTTCATCATTCATGTGGATGGCAGAGTCAGTTAAATAGGCATTGGAAAATATATCAGTGTTCAAAGCATTGGTGTCTCTTATTTCTACTGGCCGTCCAAAACTAGTGGTCATAAGGCCAATTGGTTTCTGGAATAAGAAAATAGAGTTATATATTTTTTTTAAATATCATAATATGGCAAATGAGTAAGCGATCACCTGACACCGACAAAATGGCGAAGTGACCGCTGACTAAAGGCATTCGCAATAACGGATGCGTTGCCTTCCCTTACTGAACAGAGGAGGAAACGCACGTAAAGAGGATATTTCCCCTTCTTATTCATCTCCACCAGCGTCAAGTCCACGTTCTCTTCTCATCCTTTTATTATAAGAAAAAGGGCGGGAAGGAAAAGGGACAAAAGTAGAGAATCCGGCATCAGACTCATCAGACGAAACGCGGCATTGGTCCCACTTCAAGCTTGTCTTGTCTTCTGTGTGGTCGTGGTATTTCACCGAGCCAACCCATTCGTGCGGAAATGTTAAATCACGTTCTATCACTGTCGTACACAATTTTGACGCATGTTTTAATTGAAGTCTGATACTATGCTAAGAATTTTTTAAAAGATAATCAAAGTTACGTACCGGATGATGTTTTCTAAACTCATATAACTGCCGAGTCGCTGGATCTGTTCTGTTTTCATATTGATATGATATAAATTCATATTCACTACAGTTTATATGTTGAAATATGAAAACGCCCAAAATTAACCTAACAAGTATTCCGTCCATCTTGAAGTGGTTACTTTGTTCCGGCGCGTTTCATTTTAAAGGATAGGAATTGTAGTAATTTTTTTATAATTAGATCCTTAATTCGTTATATCGGAAATATGTAATTGTATAATACAAGTAAGTATAAATACTTCATTTTTAATAAGTGTTACTATCGCATAGTAGTGTTAGAAATACAAACAGTAAGCAAAATCAAAGTGAGTAAAAAATAGAAAATTAGTATTTTTACAATCCACAAGACTCGAGAAACACGATCAGAGAGATTGGTCGTGAATTCCAGAATTAAAGAATTAATATTAAAATCAAAAGTATCTAATAGTATTGTACAAAAGTGATGATTATTTCATATTTTATTATTGTCTGTTTTATACTCTGCGTTAATCATTTTTTATATTAGAAGGAGGCCAGCAAGTGGCCATCTTATTACGCCAAAACAGCGAAGTCACGCTGCCGATAGCACTTCCAGTACTGCCTACCTTTAATGGTCAGAGGAAGACGTACAATAATCGGAATAATTACGTATTAATTAATTCTGTAATCATTACGAAAATTAATACAGTATCCAAACTAACTATACTACAAAATAATTGTTGATTTATCCGGTCTGTTGCCTTGAATAACTTGAATTGCAAATTGTTTGTTTAATTAGACTATTTATAATAGCGCATTACAATTTGCAAATGTATTGTATATTTTGTTGAACTGTATCATTAAAGTCTCTTAATTGAAATTATTCAAAAATACGGAGGAATTCAAACCAATCTTTATTTATTTTAAAATCTTTATTATAATATACATAAACAGTTTTTAGGCGTAAGTTAAGCTTTTTCTCCTTTAGTTTTATTCCTGCTATTCAATTCTCTTGCAAATGTTTAGTAACATTTATCTCTTGAAATTCTCAATATCTTCCTTGGTGTAATTGTTGTATTAGCATGTTTAAGTGCTCTATGTAATAATGTCGAAGTATCATCACCTAAATGATAATCAATCATGTAATACAAATTAATCCATCTTCGTTGCAGGAACGGAGGGTTTCGCAGAAGTAATTGCACGGTGTTGTTCGCTAGTCTTGTTCTTTGTTCATCATTTTCTAACACGTGATTATAGAAGTATGCTGGTTGTTGAAAATCTGCCGCCTGGTTCTCTAGCAAAGAGATTTTATTCTTTGGTTTACTCGTCTCAACATAAGGAATTGGTCCACTGAATGAATTTGGATAGTAATTTGGAACGTTTTTCATATTATCTTTAACAGGAGGCTCACCGTCACGGTTATACACCTTAGCGTATGTAGGATGATTTACTTCTATTCTATTATAATTTGCACCTAAACGATGCTTTTGTGTATCAGCGTATGAAAGACGACGCGATTTAAATAGATCATCAAAAGGGCCAGGTATCCCAGGCACTAAGTTCGCAGGATTAAATGCACTTAGTTCAGATACTCTGTACATATTGTCTGGGTTCCTGTTAAAAACGATTTTCCCAATCTCTACTGTATGATAAGTACCTTTCTTCCATAAGACGGTGAGATCGAATGGATTGTAATTTAAATTTAAAATATCTGTAAAATTCAAAACGTCCATTTCGAATTTCCAAATTGGATAATTTTTTTCTTCTATCGAATTATACAAATCTCTGTTATAATAATCTGGATCCATTCCACTAATTCTCATAGCTTCATCAGATGGTAGATTTTCTATGCCTTGTTGTGTTCTAAAATTAAATTTAACAAAGTGTTTTTCGCCTTTTCCATTGTTTATTTCATACGTGTGAATCGCAAACGCATCCATTTTTCTATAACCATTAGGTATACCGTAATCTGATAACAGCCACAGTACATTATGTAAACTTTCAGGTCTTAAAGAGAAAAAGTCTATCCTAGCAGTATTGTCTTCTAAATTAGTCTGAGGATTTCTTTTTAGCACGTGAACAAAAGATTTAAAATATTCCGGATCTTTTAGGACAAAAACTGGGAAATTTAAACATAGGTAATCAAGATTTCCTTCTCGAGTATAAAATTTTATGGCCAATCCTTTCGCTTCTCTCGCGAGATCGCTTCCTCCTTTGTTTTGAGCGACGGTTGAAAATCTTCCAACAATAGGAGTTTTCTTGCCGATTCCATTAAAAACGTCAGCTTTGGTGTATTTGGAAACATCATTTGTTACTTCGAAATAGCCCCAAGCTGCTGCACCTTTGGCATGAACGACCCTCTCAGGTATAACTTCAGAGTCTAAGTGTAATAAATTGTCAACGAAATGTGAATTATCCAATAGGTCAGTGTTCAATGTGATGGTATCTCGGATATCCACAGGCTCTCCTGAACTAGTTGTTAACAGGCCGATCGGCTTCTGAAAATTTTAAATACAATTGGAATTCGTAATTTAAGTTAATTCGTTCTACGATAATTGTTTAAAAACTTGTACCAGATCTTTTGTAATCAGAAGCAATTCGTGGATAAATAAAAAATTACAATTTACCAACTATAAGTGAACTCCATATTTGGACGGGCGCTTTTTTAACGCTTGCGTTCATATGAACACTTTAAAATCACTCTTGTTTCGTGTGTTTGGCGTACAAAATGCAATACTGCATGCTAAAAGGCATTGCGCTTTAAATTCGCTGCCGGATGAATAGAATCATGGAAGTAAAATTATAGCGTATATATATTTGTTTACTTTGAATCTTTTAACACGCGTTATAAAAGCGCTCGTGCGAATATGGGAAAAGGGCTTGAAAGTGATTTTAAAACAAAACATAATTAAGTGGTAAGACATTGCACCCGCGTTTTGCACCAATACATTGTTGCACTAAATTTTCATACAATAAAACTTTCTGGGATATCTTACCGGATGTTCTTTCATAAATTCAGAGAGCTGACGTGTGGCTGGGTCCGTTCTGTTCTCGTATAACAAAGATCTGAACACATATTCACACAAAACATGTTGTTTAATAATAACAGTAAACAAAAGAGTAACTACAATCACCATCGTGTCGATCGGCACGGAGCCAACTGAATTAAATATATTCCGAAACAACTAACTAGTTGTAAAATAGTTTAATAGCCGCTATAACACCAATCTATCAAGATAGAAATCAGCAATTACATCTTTTTTTCAATTTCTGATTTCGTATACAATTAATGCCAGAGGCAGTGAACGATTAAAGTAATTCCGTAGGTGCCTTAAAAAACAACGCCCTGATGGATAAAATAGGTGTTTTTACGATTCCGCTAAGGTAATTAACTTATGTGAAACTTCCTTTACAAAGATAATGCATTGTTTTCTGCAAGATAAAAACATGTTAACGAAATAATCTATATAACTATACTAATATAATAATGTGTAAACAGGCACTACTTCGTGGCGTAGGATGTCAGCAATCACAGCACATTTTTGAATAATTCTTTCTCTAATAAAAAGCCCTACACTTACGACACGATTTAGTTTATATATTTCCTAGCAATTAAACTTAGGGGGTAAATTAATCAAAAAAATCTTCATTAAGGAAGCAAGGTGGCAACGGTAATTTTGACATTTGCAATTGAGATTGAGACATTTGCATTTGCCAAATGTAAACAATAAAATAAAGTTTTTTTTTAATTTCATGCGGATGAAGCCGCACGGGAACAGCTAGTTATAGTATAATAGTACAAAAAAAAACGTTAAATTAAACCCAATACGTATTCACAATATGGAGAAATAAAACCAAAAGTAAACAATAATAAAATTCTGTTGGAATATATCACAAAAGCCGTTGTACGCAATAAAACAGATGTGAGAGAATCAAGTGAGTGAAATAATAAATGCTAAATTTACCGACTTTCATGAAACCTTTTATAAGAAAGCAATATCCAATAATATTTAATGGGTTTGTTTGACGTTTGCTTTATGTTCTCTTCTCAAAGAGATGGTATTCAATTTATTTGTATTAACATTCAATAAAGTGGGTTTCTATTGAGAAAAGTATGAATCCAGCCCTTGAAAACTATTAGAAGTATATTTAACTTTTCAAATAAACAGTTGTACACGACTTCGTAACGCAGGAATAAAAAAATAACCCATAATATTCCTGCGTCCATCAGTCAGTCTGTCAAAATTGGTGTAGCCGTTCCAGAGATTTCACAATATTGCTTTCTCCTTTCTTTTACTCATATTAGATGCGCCTTCTCTTTCGTGTAACGAATTTTTCCTACAAGTAACTTGACCTTGAAAACCACATATGAAACCATATTTTCGTAAATAAGTCATGTATAACTTAGCGACATAAAGCAAATACGCTTCATGTTTTCAATACTAATGGTAACTAGTGTTTCTGATATTCGTTTCTAAAACCTCATGTAACTTATTAGCCCTCAAAAGCAGGGGTTTAACTTACTAGCAATTCATTTAGGCAAGAAGTGCCTCGAACGATTAAGTAATTGGTATTACCAATATAAATACTGTATCTATAAATAAGTCGGGCGTTCGTAAGCCTCCCGCTCGGCATTGACCGATTAAAGCGTAGAACTTTACCCCCGGCCTACGCCTACGCCGAATTACGTCATACTTTGACAAGAAAATAGAGCGTATGGAAGTGGCTTTATTAAATTCTTAAAATTGAGGCATAGCTTTGACGTGATATAGATGACGATAGTTACGTAATGATTTTATAATATAAGGTGGTAGTAGGAAATGACCACTGTCCGTAGACATTGTTTATTAGTAAAATTGATGTTAAATATAGTGATACTCGCCCGAGACTCCGTCAGCGTGGAATTAAGAATTTCATCTAAATCCCTTCAGCCGTTTCGGCTATAAACTCTAACAAACATCCATCCATCTAAACTTTCACATTTATAATATTAGTAAGATTAGTAAGATTTATTAAATTCGATCCTAGTATCAAAATATCCAATGTTTTTAGTATCTATACAGAGATGTTATTCTTTACCCTATCGTTTGATGTCGCATTTAGATTTTCTAATGCTACGTTGTCCTTACGAAGGTTAAGTCCCAACCTCAATTGCATTAATGTAGCTTCTCTTTTTATTGTAGAACTACAAAATTATATTAATCCACTGGGAGGAGTTTGTAGTAAGTTTAAATAATAACAAGTGGTCTAATAACCTATTATTTAGTATATTGAGTTTGAGGTTACTTTAATAAGTGTGTGCATCTACCGTGAAATCCGACAGCCGTGTGACATATCGCTGTCTTTTTTGTTTTTCAAAGAGAATGAGCAGGATGGTAATATGTTTATTACTTCGACTGTGAAAATCCACTGTTAGTTTATTGCGTTGTTACTAAGAGTAATAACTCTTGTCTTAAACGAATGTTTTTTATAAGTAAAGGTCGTTTTTGGGCTAATCTTTTAGTAGCTCAGTTTTAACTTATTGTAATTTTTAAGCAAAAAGTATTAAATAAATGAACCGTTAGTAGACGATGGTTATTTTAGAACACACTGAGGACGCTCACGTGCCCAACCTCCTTCACAGCAAGCGGGTGCACTCTCTCAAGTGGAAAAGTCTATACGATGAAACATACAGGATGTTTAAAAAAATTAACGGAATGGAAAATATCTTCAAAATTATCTATGCATCAATACCGAAGTGACATTGTTTGTAGTTTTAATTCTAATTTTTTATTCCTTTTCCTTACTAGAAATAAAGATAATTCAAATTATATTTTTCTAAAACACTGCTTTATTTAATACATGTTTTTTTTTTACAATTTCAATGATTGTCGTTTGCGATTGTTTGTACAATTCTCATAACATTGTAGCATAATTTTTAACATCCTGTACAACCTTTGGTTATTTATAAAGTTTTATTTTAGACAAAATATGAATTTAGCTATCTATTTTCCTTCACGAGCGACACCAGCGCAGGATTGTGTTCAGTGTTCTGTGAAAATTTGCACATCAAATTTGTATTCTCTTTGAATAGATGCAAACAAAACGTGCCACCTTCAAAGTGAAAAACTTTTTTTAACTTTTAAAAACTAACTATATGTAACTTACAATTAAACTTATTTCACTCTTAGCATTATTACTATATAGTTACTACTTTTAACAGTGGTAGTGCCCGCTTTAACATCTTCGCACGAATAGGCCGGCTCGCCTGGTGTAATACCACGACCACACAGAAGACAGGCGTGAAGTTTTTCGTCTGATGAGTGTGGTGCCGGAGGCCTAATTCTAGTCACTTCCTTTTCCACCCTTTTCTTAAGTGGAAAGGATGGGAAGGAAAAGTGGAGTTGACAGAGGAGACGCATAGGAAGGGGAAATGTCTTTTTTTGTGCGTCTCCTCCTCCGTCAATTAAGGCAACGCATCTGCAATTGCGGATGTTTATGGGCAGCGGTCGCTTTCCATTTCGGTGGAGACAGTTGGCCGCTTGCTTGTTTGCCACCTTTTATTATAAAAAAAAAACTTTTAAACCTTTCGAGAAATGTCTATTTGTAATTAGACGGAGTAAGTAATAAATCAAAATTAAAAACGCCGGCAATTATTCAAGCAATAAATTTTGCCAGTAACATTTCTGGAGTTGATTGTAAATATTTACTGGTTTTATTTATACAAATACAATTGACCTTTTTCGTACAATTTTAATTCGATTCTTTATTAAATAAAGCTTCTATTTGATATACGAGAATGAAATTAGAGTTTTTTTGTAATTAATGTACTGTGTAAGTACAAATAAGTACAAATTAAGTTAAACTCGGAATGAACTGAGTATAAGAAGAAATGTACTAATATTTGCTTATACTTAGTTTATTGTTAATTTATTTGCAAGGCTGTTAAACAGTACGTAGAGAAAGAAGAAAAGGTTTTTTTCCAATATCATTAAAGCCTCTTTTCCACTAAGCTATTACTAGCTACACGCTATTAAAAAAAGACTCACATAACTTTGTATTTAGAATACGAGTAGTTATTGTGACTACCACACGTGTTATTAGAATAAATGACATTTAAAAAGGTCAGTTTTATTATTAAAAACAAATGAACAATGAATACTATTTTCATTATAGTCCAATGTATAAATTATCTTTGCTTCAAGGAATAGTTTTATATAGAAACGATTAAAATGTAAACACCACTATTTTAGATAGTAAGAGCGTGCGTACGCCTGAAACTAAACTATCGCACAACTGTTTTGTCTCGCGATATTACATTATTGTTTTTGTAATGGCTTTTTTTGTATATTTGAGCGTTGTAGTTAGTCAACATTCACTCACCATATACTAATATGTTTTTAAATTTCGAACGGTGAATGAATACATCGTGATATTCATACAATTTTGTTAATGTCGTTACGAATACGTTTTCATAATTGTCACTTGAACATTCGTAATAGGTTCTCAGACCAGAAGCCAGTTTTCGTACTGTATTATCATAACTTTACATATTTCTGTCAAAGTCCATTTCCAATTAAAATTTATGTTAACAGCGACTGTTGAAAAAGTTTAAAAGTAAACGCGACTACGTTTAAACGGATTGAAGTGATATCTGTAAAAAGATATTGCATCTCTTTCTTTTACAAAGATAATGAAAGGGATATGTTATTGTACAGTTTCACGCTTTTTACATAGATTTGCATAGATTTTTATTGTACAAATAACTCAATTTAGTCTACACACAATGGAATGAACGTAAATATCACGCATTATATGTAAAATATAACGCTACGGTTTGGTAAAAATCTTGCATATCTATATTGTAATTCAACGACATTAAGCACTCATTCGGATAAACAATTTACTTCCAACTCAAGCATCCAGTTAACATTAAACTATTAACACTGCACAACTGTATATAAAAAGCATGAATGGTATTAGTGTAGGGGTCTTTTTAAATGGACTTATTCGCTCCGATTCTTCCTGCTACTGCCATATTTGTTTATTCTCCCCTATATCTATGACGATAAGGTTCATAATAACTCGTAATTATTGCGATAAAAGTAAGAAAAATTAATTGTATGACTCCGTCTATGTTTAATTTTTTTTATTATTATATTTTGAGTAAAAATAAATGTGAACAAAAAGGTTTCCCGTACCGGGAATCGAACCCGAGCCTCCTGGGTGAAAGCCAGGTATCCTAGCCACTAGACCATACGGGATGCTATGTGGTAACCAAAATAAAGAATTGGTTTCAACAACATAGTATTTGCTTTCAGTTTTGAAAGCTGTGAGAGTTAATAAAAATTTGCGAGTATCTAAATTATAAAATAACATTTAAGATTAGATAAATTCATAACTTAATTTTGGCCATTTGTTGTTCTGAAAAGTACAGAAAGGAAGAAACTGTTTCTCTAGATTTTCAGTATAGTTACATATATAATATATAACATTAACCCATCAAATCTTCTTTACTCCAAATGTAACATTCGTAAACATTTATATAACATAATCTCCGTTTTTTATTGATTTGCCATTACACTTGAAAATATGTTTATAGCGACATCTATGGAAATAAATTGAAAACTGTTAAAAATATTTTCACCAATTGTGTTTTAGTTCTTCAATAGTATAATAGAGGGCGTTATTTTCAATATTTATATTCAACCCGGTTTGATACTTGCTATCTCTTCAAAGTAAAAATTCTAAGTATTTTTTTTTATTTTCGTGGAAAATATTATTAATAAATAATGTTTTCCACCAAAATAACGGCTGTAACGTAAAAGTAACTTAAGACCTAAACTATTCCAATTCTCATAGTCACAATAATAAAGCGAATAAATGAGAATGTTTCTATTTCGGCGATGGCTTAAATCGGGTGTTAGAATTACGTTAAACTTTTTACGTGTGTTTCTGTTCTGTTTTTAGTCATACGAATTACAAAAGAAAAAGGGCTACTAAGCGGCTTATGTATTTCCATAATGTATGTTATCAGGCTTTGGTACAAGGGGTCCATCTGCGTACATTTTAATGAAGGTTTGATATTTCGGGGCCCGGTCACTTCTGTTGTCTTGAAACTAACATCTTTTTGAGGTTAATACAACTGCGATAGTAGCTTTTGTATTAAATATTTATAGACGTGTTTCAATGACCAATAAAAGTCATCAGTTTGTAATCCGTCTATACTGTACGTTTATTAACTGAAAGTACCTTTTTTTTTTAATTGTTTTCTCGACATTTTAGAAGCTTCAGCGTCTAACTTTGAACTAGTATTTTGGTGGCCATTTTGGATTTTTCATAATGAACTATACTATGCTATATGATGCCCATGTAGAATTTATACGAAGTTTTGTACAGTTTTGTTAATATATCATCCGCCATTTTGTAATATCGGCTATATTGGATTCTTCTGGATATTAGTTATTTAAAACTAGCTTTCGCCCGCGACTCCGTCCACGTGGTATTTATAAAAACAAAAGCAAGTACCCTTTGTGTTCTTTCAGACTATCCTCTACATTTATGTCAAATTTCATCGAGATCCCTTAACCCGTTTAGGCTACTAACTCTAACAAACCATCCATCTAAACTTTCGCATTTATAATATTAGTAAGATTGATAGACCTAAAAACTTTTTTGTGGTTTATTAATTTTATTATCTATTAGATAAATTAGTGTTGATGGGTTTTAATATATCATTAAAAAACTGAATAATCGCTTAATGAGATTTAGTTATTTTAAAATAGAAAGTACATAGAATACATGTGTAATGTAATAGAAACAAACATTCTCAATATGAATATCTCTTTAATCATTAACAGTAAAATTTAGACAGGAGGTAATTATCACTCTCTTATATCTATCATCTATGTTTTCTCTACGTTTATAGGAATAGTAACTTGAAATCACTTAAAAACTATAACAAACTTAAACGAGAAATCAAACTCGAAGTTAAAAGTTACAACATTATTATTAGAGAGATGTATTTAACAGGAAATCTACACATTAATATAATACTGTTTTAAAAATACTGATAAACTATTGAAATTGTTATTATAAATTAAAAATATTTACTTCAACATTATTAAAAGTTTTAATTAAAAGATTTCAACAGATTGAAGGAACTGAAATTTGTACGTTTAAATTCCTAATCTAAATATTGAATTTTAAATAATAGGCCATTTTTTAAGTACTAGTAATTCAAAACAAGTGACTAGATAAGCCTCCTAGAATATTTTACAGCTAAACAGTTAAGACGGAAGTGATTAGCGTATGCGTTCAGTTTAGTGAGCATCACGGCGCCTCCTGCCGGGTCCTCCGGCGAAGTTGGCAGCAGCAAGGCCCATAAGGTGCTTGGCCTGGAGAGCGCCGGAGTAGCCACGGGTCAGGCCAAGGTCGAGAGCACGCTTCTCGCTGTAATTTAAAAAGTAAATACTAAAAACAAAAAAGCATAAAAATAGGACTTTATTTTGAAATATTCGTCTGGTAATAAGGAAATCAAGGCAAGTAAAAGATGCATGCAATTTGTAGTATCAACTAGACTTGCTCTCTGGCTTATTGTAATGTATAGTTCAAATTAGACTAATTTAGTCGAATAGCGAGTAATTTAGTAGCTAAAATATTTATCTATGATTTGACAATTTTTATTTTTCAGATACGTTTTACTTTAGATTACTTGCAAAATTATTTTTATCAAAAAATAGTAATTTAAACTACTTCAAGCGTGCGTTATTCTACGAATTTAAATTTTCTTTCAATACATTATTATAGAATAGGAAAAGCGATGAAAACTTTCCACCAGTAAATGTAAAAGTGATTTTTCATGAAAATTTTTATTCAGAAAATAGTATTTTCCACAAAACTTCTTCCTTTAATCCTCATCAACATATATTACGTTTTCATGAATTCGTTTTATCGTGCGCTTTAATTTACTTGCAAACTTTTTGATATAAATTCAAACTTAGAATAAACTAGCTTTCGCCCGCGACTCCGTCTGCGTGGTATTAAAAATAACAGAAGTGAGTAGCCTATGTGTTCTTCCAGACTCTCTACTCTACATCTGTACCAAATTTCATCGAAATCCGTTCAGCCGTTTAGGCTACAAAATCTAACAAACATCAATCCATCCATTTATCCATCCATCTAAACTTTCGCATTTATAACATTAGTTAGATAGAGATTTACCTCCTCATCTTAATAATAATACAGAAAAGGTGGAAATAAGTTCAGTTATCGGGTTGTAATGAATATAAATTAAAGTATTCAATGAAAGTACATAAAATTATGCAAAACTGCAGAAATTTAACTTGAAACCAAAATGCAATGTTTTTAGTAAAAGCAAATCCCAAAACATGTACTTTGGTAATATGCGGAATTTTACACAAATGCATGCTATTATAGCTAAGGTAACTTAAAAATAAGCATTTTAAGTATTCATGTATTTTAAAGCGATTATGCGACTATAACTTGCATATTAAGTTATATCAAGCGCTTTTTGCAGACATACCTAGTGATGCCATCTTTGTAGCTGTAAAAGAAAACTACATTAAAACATGAATATAATTATACTAGCGTTCGTCCGCGACTTCGTGCACGCAGAATTAAAGAACACAGTGACCTGTGTTCTTTCATACTATATTCTGCATCTATCCAGAATCATCGAGACCCTCTAAACAGTTTTGGAGGTATATAGTAAAAATATCCATCCAAATTTTGGCATTTATAATATTAGTATGATTAAGAAGAAACAAATTGTTTACGCAGATTTTTATTACAGCGTATTAATAAGCTTTGATGTGAAAATAAGAACTCAGAGAATTTCGACTGTTTACTGTTTCGACTTTTATTAAAAAGCTTAATAAAAAGGACAATAATCTTCTTTGTATTTCAATTGTAATATTTTTTATTAAATAATAAAGTAATGGCTGCTGAAAAATAGAAAATCAAAATGCCGTTTATCAGTATCCTTTTTTAACGTAGATTTGAATTTAAAAAAACATTTTTACCGACTTAAAAAAAGGTTCTGAATTCGTTTGTATATTATTTGTCTAGATAAGGGTTTACACATGTTTTGTTTTAGTTCTGAATATTTACATACTTTAAAAATACAGTCAGAATAATTTTATAAATGTGAAAAAAAAATCTTTTTATGGTTTATGATATAAGAATTAAAATATTAAGAACTCACTAGTCCATTTGACGCTGCAGTTGGATGAGGCTTTCCAGGCGGCTCAGCATCTCCCTGATCTCTTCGGGATCCTCGGCGACGTCCTGGCGGTAGTCGTTGACACTGAAATACACAAATAAAATGTCATCAGTTGATATACAGGATTGCTGTACCGTACCGATGTGGTACCGAGTAATCTCCTTTAATATTTAGTAACTTGTCAGTCACCCTGTATATTAATGATGCCATAAGACATTAATGACATCAATGACACATTTACATCTTTGCTAATATTACAAAGAGGAAATATTTGTATTATTGTATGAACGTAATAACTGAAACACTACTGGGCCGATTTCAAAAATTCTTTCACCATTAGAAAGCTACGTTATTGCTGAGTAACATATTTTTAAATTTCACGTGAAAGAAGTCGCAAGCAACAGTTAGTATTATATAAGTCAATGTCAAATAGTGGTCAAATTGCTTGTAAAAAATCATTATAAACCGCTGTCTGTTTTCTCGATAGCGCGAGTATTGTAAAATGTACCACAACCTGGGATAGGAAGCCGCAGGTACGACCAGCATCAGCGCTCCGAGGAGGCAGCAGACCAGCAGGCAGGTGGGGCGAACCATTCTGTAACAAAGAAAAGAAAAAATAAAAACCTATCTTCTAATAGAAAGAGTTTTATATATCATCCGCTTTGTGAACACTGTACAGTCACACTTTTTCTTCCATCCATAAAGTGTGGTCACTAAAGAGGTTTGCATAGTTTATTTTACACTAAGGGTTTGTTTAAGTCACCATTAAATAAATGTTATTGTGACATCGAACGTTTATAGCAAACTTTGGTATATTTATATGATACGGTTGATGGTTTGACGAATTACCCAACCGTCACCCAGCTCTGTCCCCACGTGCCGACAGATGAGAATAAAAGTTTGGAACATATTTTTTTTCTTAACGGTTCCATTTGTCCCCTTATTGGTGATAGTGAGACTAAAAGGTGGGACGGATGAAACTTAAGATTCTTATACAAATTGCCTGATATTTTGCAATAAATAAAAACAATTATAAAATCACTAAAAAGGTTTATTGATGATTTTCACAGTAATGATTTCAATCGCACAAGAATAACTCTTGGAGTTAATGGGTTTACGATTTATTCCCGGTTTACAATCGGTTCAGTTCACTCGAGCTGGCGTTTTCTTGTGCTATGAGGGGAATTGATTCACTGCTTTAAAGCGAAGAATTCTCTTGAAATTTCTATTAATTTATTTACTGTCGGCTAAGATTCGTATAATGTAAGTGAACTTTGATATCATTGGAATCTTTGGGATCCAAAAGTGATGATAGACATCATTGTATCACACACAACACGCATGTTGAATTGCTTTTGTTTTGACACAATTATTTAAGCATGTTATGTACAAGTGTAAAAGTAGTTGATTACATACTTCTGACGGGTTCGGATGTTAATTAACATTTATATTTTGGACATTATTTGTATCTAGTCAAGGTTCGTAATCGCTTATCAGTCTCAGGTGAGCGGTCAAGCGCTCTATTGACAGAGATTATCTACTAATCAACCGCACATTACAAGTATTTTTTTTTATAATATAAGGTGGCAAACGAGCAAGCGGCTACCTGAATCAACCGAAATGGAAAGCGACCGCTGCACATAAACATCCGCAGTTAAGGATGACATAGTATTTTTCAAATAACAATGAGCATGAATCTGTGCCATTTTGTGCCATATAGTCAGGAAAATAAGGGTTATTTTAGAAGTGTACAAGTCGGGGGCGAGAGCTAGTATAACATAATATTATAGTAAGAGTCCGATTACGTACCTACTTATAACTACTAGGTATATAAACGTCTACATTGCATGTACGTTTAAGTCTTTGTGAGGCCACTTGGCTCGTGAATAGTTGAAGTTCCCATCTTAGCTTGCGGCCTGTTTCGACTTGCGAAAAGGGTTTGACGCACGCCGATGTTCAGTGAAAGGATGCTATAGACTTTAATAACGGAGTATTTGACAAGATGTTATAATGAAATTCTACTTGATTGTCCAGAATATTATTATTTAATCGCTTTCTTAGATTAAGGAATCTACAATAATTTTAATATTAAGTTAAATTGTATCATATTTTAATTATTGGTATTTAAATTAAATTTAACGTAGTTAGTTTTCGGATTTCCTAAATGACGTTAAATGTTCGCTAAGGTCGTCCCTTAATATAAATTAAGCGGATGTGAAAGACTGAACGACTGTCAGAATAGCATTTACAGCCATATTTTGTTTGTCTTCCTACTCGTATGCCGGAATACATCACAATATTGTGTGTTAGTTTTCATGCATTTACTTTGTAACTGTCGGATATTTTATAGAGTGCAACAAAGTGTGTCACTGCTCTAATGGCAGTGTGAAACGTGTACGTTACTTTTGAGGGCAACTGTCGTCACTAATGGATCCTTTTCACACTGCTGAAGCTAGCAAATGTTACGTGCGGTTTGCAGCGAAACTGACAGCGGTACACGTGATGTATGACTGAAATTGTCAACTTTTATACGTAACGAATGCTAAAAAGCTACTAGTGGATGAGTTTAACAAATATTTTACCATTAGAAAGCAACATTGTCATTGATGGATGTTTGTTAGAATTTGTGGCCTAAACTGTTTAACGGGTTTCGATAAAATTTAGTATAGATTTAGTTATAGTCTGGAAGAACACATAGACTACTTACTTTTTTTTAATTCACGCAGACGAAACCGCTTGCGAAAGCTAGTAGACTACATTTCTGTCTAACAGGAAGGGTAAGGATACAACAGAAAATATATGAAACGTATATTCTTTTTCAATTGAAGCTGGGGCGGATCACTAGTCACATTATTTACATTTTATCGAGAAAATAAAGTACAAATAAAGCGTCAAAGATTGTGAAAAATGTATATAAGTTGTTGCTACCACAGCAAAGTTATTAGACATGATTCTCGACATAATTCAAAGTTACATCGTTTCGTGAAGTCAGTGTTAAGTTCTATAACTTTGCAATTGCAATTTATAGTTATGGAAAGTTATCTTTACCAGTTTCGGAATTCGACCGACCGTGTTCGTGAATCAAGTTTATTACTTCATAAACACGTAAACTTAAAGCTAGTTTTTACTAAAAGTAATTAACCCTCAATTAATCTCAGCAATCACTTCAATAGTTATAAGTAAAGCTTGAGTCAATATAAAAATATTCTGTAATTGTTGAAACCATAAAAACATAGCAAAATAAATGTAAATGAAATCAAATAAAAATCAAACTTCGTAGACAGTATAAAGAACTAATGATGAGTTCGATTGAAAAGAACGAACGAAAGTAAACGGAGATATTTCCAGCACACGTTAAAAGAAAAGATAAAGAAATGAGTTAATTGGAAGTTTCTTAACTGAATTATTTTGTTAGTAAGTTTAAAAGCGAGTGGGAGAATTAATAATTGAACTGAGCAGTACTCGGGCGTCTTGTTAATTAAATTATCAATAATATTCAGTCACTGAAATAACTTTTTTAATTGTAGTTTTCGAAACTAGTTAGAACTTCCTTCATTTTCACAGGAATTTGACATTTTTTTTTTAAATCGAACAGATATAGATAATAAAAGTGAAATCTTTTAGTAAGTACATAATAGTTAGCAAATAACACAAAATAACTGACTAATAAATGACTAGAGAATGAGAGACTTCAAAGCATTTTATTTTAATATAAATGTAGTTTTTAATGGAAGATATTATTTACTCTTTAAGGCTAAGCGTAGATATTAAGTTTATCAAACGAAATGAATCTTCATAGTTTATAGTGGAGTAAGAATTGCACAAACATTAGCATCCTTCTTGGGTATTTTTAATATTAATCTACTGACATAAGATTTTTTTAGTAGAATAAATAATATGTCCTTTTTTCAATGGTATGAAGACAGGATATTGTTTTTTTTACAATATAAGGTGGCAAACGAGCAAGAGGCCACCTGAATCCACCGAAATTGCAAGCGACCGCTGCCCATAAACATCCGCAATTGCAGATGCGTTGCCTACCCTTAATTGACGGAGGAGGAGACGTCCATAAAGAGGACATTTCCCCTTACTATACGTCTCCTACACCGTCAAATCCACTTTTCCTTCCCATCCTTTCCTCTTAAGAAAAGGGTGGAAAGGGAAAGGGACTAAAATTGGGCCTCCGGTACCACACTCATCAGACGAAACGCGAAATTACTTCTACTTCACGCCTGTCTTCTGTGTGGTTGTGGTATTGCTGGGGGGAGCCGACCCATTCGTGCGAAGATGTTAAAGCGGGCCCTACCATTGTAGACAGAAGTTCTTGTAAAACCGTCTTTGTCGAAGCAACAACAATTATCTTTTGTACAGTCAGCTAGATAAATATATATGCATTTACTAAACAGAAACTTCTATAGGCGTTCGGTTTCAAAATGATGGATGCAGTTATCAGTTAATAATATTTATTCATGGTCGAAACACATGCAGACGTGTATACTTGTTTTTAAAACCCAACGCGTGTTTTCTGTAGCCTGGTAAATGTTATATTTATGAAGCTGACTGTACAAACTTAAGGTACAATGAAGGAATGCGGGATATGTAATTAGAAATGTTTGTTCTGGCGTAATTTTGTACGAACATCAAGGTAAAACTGAGAACCGCGAAATTAAACAATGATACAGTTCCACTTTTGTTTTTAAAGATAAATGTTTGACTACATAAAAATAGAATAAATATACACGCCTATGTTCACAAATTGAATATTTAACTATTTAGTAAAAAAAAATGTTTCATGGTTTAATCCAACATGCAACAGAAAAAGGTAAATCAAGAGAGAATCAAGAGAGAGAGAGCAAATTAACCGTAGTTTTACACTTTCAGAAAGAACTGACACAATCTGTGTTGTATATACGATAGTGGAAGCCCACGGTAAGCCATAATGTTTTATAGTACGTTATTGTTATTGTGAATACTGTTGTTCTTAGGCTTGTATTGTTGCAGTGATCACAACTTATCAGATGTCTACGATGTCGTTTCTATTTTACTTTAACATCTCTTTGTTGAAAAATAAATTCCTAGGTTTTTATATAACACTAGCTGTTCCTGTGCGGCTTTATCCGCATGAAATTATGAAAATTGTATTTTATTGTTTACATTTGTCAAATTATCAATAGCAAATTTGAAAATTACACGACATGACAAACCTTGACAATCTTGCTTCCTTAATGTTGGCAGCAACTTATGGTCTCTTTCCCACATTAGGGTTTTTATCCAAATTATTTACCCCTAAGTTTAATAGCGTGAAAATACATAGCCTAAAGCGTTACGTAAGTGTAGGGCTTTTAATTAAAAAATAATTATTAAAAAATATGCTGTGATTGCTGACATCTTAGGCAACAAAGAAGTGTGTGTTTGCGCTTTATTATAATAGTATTGATTAAAAAGCTCGTGTTTAATTAAATTTCTAACTACTTAGTCTTAACTATATATTGCTAATATTTTAAATGTTGTTCAGTAATTTATTCTTGTACAATTCGTCCTAAATATTACCAGAATAATAGCTTTCGTGATATAACGTAATAACAATCTACTCTC